ATTGATATACACTGAACAAAAATATAAACGCAACACTTTTATTTTTGATGAACTCAAAGATCTAAAACATTTTCTATAAACACAAAATAACCATTTCTCTCAAATATTGTTAGGGTAACCGTTAGGGTAATGTTGTGAATCGAGTGGCCCATGGTGGTGGTGGGGTTATGGTATGGGCAGGCGTATGTTATGGACGACAAACACAGGCCACTCGATTCACAACATTACCCTACCCCTCACACCAGATACTGACTGGTTTTCGGACCCCCCCAGACCCCCCCAATAAAGCAAAAATGCACGTTTCAGAGTGGCCTTTTATTATGGCCAGCCTAAGGCACACCTGTGCAATAATCAAGCTGTCTAATCAGCATCTTGATATGCCACACCTGTGAGGTGGGATGGATTATCTCGACAAAGGAGAAGTGCTCACTATCACAGATTTTTTCAGATTTGTGAACAATATTTGAGAGAAATGGTTATTTTGTGTATATAGAAAATGTTTTAGATCTTTGAGTTCATCTCATGAAAAATGGGAGCAAAAACAAAAGTGTTGCGTTTATATTTTTGTTCAGTGTATTTACTGTTAATGATAAACCATTGGTTGCACCACAAATGAGATTTACACAAGTATATTCAGAGGCCACACACTTCCTTGCATGCAAAATACATGCACAGAAGCCAACTCACTGCTTTCAACCATCTATAGCAACAATGAGAAACCCAGAGTTCCTCAGATTAAGCCACACTTTGGCAACCGGGAGCCAATGTCACCCACGGTTGAGAAGCACAGGATGGGAAACTCGAGACAACACCACACTTTAGAGAACTTCCATCTGCAGCTTCCTCCAGGAATATTACAACCCATTTCCAACGGTCATTATCCCAGAGCCGAATCTGAAGGTGTGATCGGGGCCAGTTCATTTGATCCAAATTTGAAGATTGCACTGTAGTAAGTCAAAACATTGGAAACTTGGTTTATCTGAAGGAAAGTGGAACTATTCCAAAAGTAGTCTCACTATAGACAGACAGCATCTACTGCCTTCCACTGGAAAGACATATGTTTTTGAATATTTAGCCAGTGTCTGTAGTCTTTCCCATTCAGCTGACCTGATCAGCAGGATCCATTCCCTACTGCCTGGAAAAAGACCATGAATAAGGATGAAGGCGGTTACTTCAGAACTGGGCATCAGAACAAACAAAAGTTGAATTTCACCATCTAAAAACTCCAGCTAGTCAATCACTTTGCATCTGACAGGGGAGTGCAGTCATTTCCTTTGATTGGTTGAGGCAGTCATACAGTAATATCTTCTCCAGAACAGCAGATAGATGGGTCTTCATATTGTAAGTATAAAGGTAACATCTGTATTTCCTCTTGGGAAGGCTACAGTACACTGTCAGGAAAAGAAAAAGCTGCAGTGCGAAAATATGAGGTATGACTCAGGATGATTAGGTATCGGGGTTTGATTCATTCTGCCAGAGTTGATTTATTATTAACACGTTTCTTTGATAACACATTGCAAAGAATGAACTCAAGCCTCATAATTCAAACTTTTTCTCCCTTCTGTTGCAGAACCGAGAATGAAAAGTGAAACAAGCCGGAAAGGTTACTGCTAAAGGAGGATAAGAGAGAGAATACAAATTATGAAACCATGCTTTTATCTTTGTTAATTTATGTAATACATATTTAAGAAATTCTGCTTATGCACCAATATGCCTAAAGGTCTGCTACATAGGTAATTAAAACCAACCGATCAGCCACATTATAATTACAATATGATTTGGGGAATTACTTTAAATGTCATGATGATAATCACAGCAAGATGGTAGACTTAGTGATTGTAGCTGCCATGGCAACCAACAGGCCCTGAAGGGGTGAAGTTAATGAAATGTGGAGCAATCAGCACTGGGGATTTCTTATCAATGGGAATCTTATTTTCCGACTCTACTACTAAAGCTATTAATAACTGCCTGGCCCTCATGTGGATGGATGATGCAAACAAAAGTGGCTTTCCAGGAAATCAAAGCTACTCCATCACGCCATATTGAGGCTTAACACTGGTTATAGTTTACATGCTGCCTAATAAACAGACATTTCATGAAATCCCCTCAATATTGAGTCTTGGGTTTATGTAATGGCTTAGACGGTGGTCCGAGAGGTAAATAAAGACACCAACACAAACCCCAGGCATCAGCAAAGTGCAGTTAGTGAAAGATGGAGGGTAAATAATTCCACTAGCTACTTGTGGAGCCGGGAAAGAGGAAAACAATCTTTAGTTGCTCGGTTTGCTGTCATCTACCCATGTAACACTGTGTGTGTGTGTGTGTGTGTGTGTGTGTGTGTGTGTGTGTGTGTGTGTGTGTGTGTGTGTGTGTGTGTGTGTGTATGTATGTGTGTGTGTGTGTGTGTGTGTGTGTGTGTGTGTGTGTGTGGTGTGTGTGTGTGTGTGTGTGTGTGTGTGTGTGTGTGTGTGTGTGTGTGTGTGAGGAAGTGTCTGAGTCACTTTCCGATTGGTGTACTAATTTCCCTTGCACAAAAAAAACAAAACCCAGGAAAAAACAATTCTAGGATACAATAAGACAGATAATTTTTGATTGAGCTGCAACATTTGGGTGGGAAAATGCTTTGTGTTTTTTCCCCTCGCTCTTTTTGTCTCTGCTGGCAGTGCTCCATGATTCGATGAGCTGAAGCAGATATTACAACAAATCCTTCGCTCTCTACAGTTTTCTCTGCAATATTGTTTGTGTGGTGTCTTTGTATTTTTAATTAAAAAGTCAGACATTCGACTGTGAGAAAGGAGTTATAGAGAAATCCATGTACATAATTAAACTTGATTTAAAAATACTAAATTCCCTTGTTATGGGTTGGGTTTTTTGGAAGACAAAAAGAGGACAACAGTGTGTACATTACAGGCATGACTTCAGTGTCAATGTGGGTGGTGAAGGCGCAGTTTGATTACACTGTATATCGCCAGAGTTTAAAGTAAACTCTCACAATTGCTTGAGATTTGGAGAAGAATAAAGCCTCAACTTGGACATCCCCTGGAGAAATACCATTAAAGTAAACAAAAAAAGACCCTTTAAGGCTGTGGACGGCAGTATTATATTTCTTCTTAACCAAAAGCCAAAATGTATTCAAGCTTGAAACAGAGATTTAACAATGTTTGCCAGCATGATTCATAGTAGCATCTGTTTTTTTTAGAAAAAGATGAAGAAACCAAGCCAAGTCTGATGCCACGTTGCTGCCAACATGAACCCCAAATAATCCGATAAACAATGAAGAGATGGGGGTTGTAGGGTAGTGGGGACTCTGCAGTCACCTCCCCCAAAAGTAATTGTAATATTTTGTCTTACAGTGGATGCTGTTGTCTAAGAAGAGCATGTATTTGGAACAAAGCCCTGATGAGAATACACTGACAGTGGCAGTCAGTATAATGCTCATCCATGCAGCTGCACTGAACCAAATGGAGAGTAAGGTAAACAGCTGACTGTTTACTTTGTTGATAAGCGCCTCCAAAAGACTTGACACTAACTGAATGAATTGACCTCTCTGCTTTGACACACTTGGTATAGATAGTGTTAGAAACCCAGTTTGTAATGTGAATGACATGACCTATCAGTTCTATGCTGTGTTATTGTATGAGGATAAGTCTATCAGAAGGAGGTCAGGGGTCAAGGTGGACACCTCACCTACCATACCACCATTTAATGTACAATATATTTAAGAATCAATCCCAGACAGAAAATAGCCTATCCAGAGTTTGTTACAATCCTGCTTTTGTAAAGGAGACCCACTGAGCAGCTGATGTGAGTAATTATGAGTTGTTTGTACAAACATGAGCTCTACTCAGTTACAGCCGCACCAATATCCGTATGGTTTCTATTAGAACATGTCTTGCTGCTGCACGCCTCATAACTCTGCAAGAAACCAAACTCTGACTGGTTGTAGCAGACCAGAGGCTGAGGCTGAGAATACTACAGAGCCAGAGCACATGGGAAACATGTAAGTGGATAGTGTAATAATGCAAAGATACGTATCCTTCTTTACAGCAAGAAACTACGAGCTGTGGATGCCAGCGGACACAAGATATGACTGGAATAACTATTGTGGTTAGGCACTTAAATATGCCCCTGGGTTCCCTTGTTTAGCTTTTGGCCATGTAAACAGACAGTACTGGCAGCCATAAATACACTTGCTGATTAAAATAAGTACAACTGTGTCAGAATGTATTTGCTGGATATTAAAACTATTTAAAATCCTCCTGGACTTCTTATTTGTATGTTTCAGGTACATGATCTTTAATGTCTACTGAGATAGTCCCTCTGCGATTTTTGGTTCTGTTTTCATAATCGTACTGAAAAATGGTAACCTACACCAACAGCAGAGCGCAACCTGCTGTAGTTAATGGTCTCAGTGCCTTGCTCAAAGGTGAATAGCAGTATTTAAAATGCTCTCCACTATGATGCCTCAAAGTCTTCTTAAGTGGTCTCACCAGGAAATATTAAGTAGATTGGTCCACTATAGTTGTTTCCCTTAAAGTGGTCCGGACCTCAATCCTTAAGTCTATTCACACAAAAGGAATCCCTGAGGAGGAAACCACTTACTTACAGTCAACATATAGTTCCATAAGACATAATAAGACGCCTACAATATACAGGCCTATAGTGACTAACCTCCCTTCCATGTTCAGCATATATATTTTTTTTAATCTAGCTGTTTAGCCAGGTTGTCTGTGCAAATGGATCAATAATCAATACCAGTCGATGCTGCATCATCAGGATCCATTGATCTAATACTATTGTTGCCCCTGTAGTATGGTTTCCCCACATCTCAGTACGCGGACAAGCTACCAGCTCAAGCATGCAAGGTGCAGATGCAGGGTGCACCCATCTATAGGGAGAGCCAGAAGCTCCCACCCAAAAAGAGCAAATATCTCTACCTTTCCCCCTTATTGATCAGAAGCATCAGAGCACATGATGAAAATAAAGCAGCTGTCACTTACATTCATCTGACCCACTCCACAGCTCTGGATGTTTGCTCTGGATCTCCTCTCCAAAACTGATTAGTATGCAAACGGCTTTCCAATTCCCCCTTTCGACACACAATCCACCAGGACAACAATCTTGAATGGAGCCTCTCTGGCCAGCTGGACTGAGCTTTTTACATAATATCCACACAAAAAATGACAGTTCCACAGATGTTCTAATCCAATAGACGGGTAGGTTGTGTTATTCCTCCAGTGAAGGGTCTTTTCTTGGTCCCCGTGTCAGGTGAGCGCGTTCAGATCAGCTGTGAATCTCTCCGTTCCTTCGCTGTCTGCAGAAGAAAGGATCCGTCTGTGGCTCCGCAGTGCTCCGGCTCTTTCGCTGATCTTAAACGTTTCTCTCCTCTTTTTCCCCCCTCAGCATCCAGTCACTCAGACTCGGCGTGTGTTAGTATGAGCTGAGACAGAGCCGCTTCAGGGCACCGTGCACCTCACCGACTGAAAGCCGACTCCTCCGCCACAAGGCCCAGCCCCCCTACTCTCCTCCCCCTCCTCCTCCCTTCAGCGATTTGGGTTGCTAATTTATTCGGGTAGCTACACAAAAGGGGGGACAGATGAGAGGGAGGCTGTGGAATACAGTGGGGAGAGAGAGGAGAGAGGAGATTGGAGAGCACTTTGGTGCCCCCCAGCTCCGTGCAGTGGAAGTAGTCTTTGAAACAAAGGGGTATGCAGCATCAAAAGAGGAGTTTAGCTCAGCATGGCACATTGTGTATGGAAATTAGTAATTAAAAGCATTATTTTTATTTACCCTCTTTGTGGGGACTTACTCTTATTATATTATACAGAAGGATAACCATACACGATTCAATGTAAGTCCCTGTATGAACATTTAAGGACATTTTGTAATTTATCTTGTGATTTTTTATTTTCTGAAGAATCAAAAGAATGGTTATGGTATATTTTAAAGTAATGCATATACTATTTTTCTTATCTTTCTTATACAGTAAGTATGGATATGTACAAGCATTTGTATGTGGTAACTTTAAGGGGGAACACATTGTAGGCCTACTCATGAAATCGATATATCTCATATCTCTATCTAAATGAGTACATAATCATGTGAGTAAAAATAACACTGTTTTTTGTTGTGTGTCTTATTTTTAACCTTCGTCAACTGCACATTTTACAACATAGGCCAATTTCATCTTTGTACAGATGGGATTTAATACTACAATAATTATTTTTAATTAAATACAGAAATAAATGAATAATTACATTACATTACATATCACTTGTTAGACGCTTTTATCCAAAGCGACTTACATACTCAATACTGTGGGCAATCCCCACAGGAGCAATTTGGGGTGAAGTGTCTTGTCTAATTTATAGTTTGCTTACTATTAAAGTTGATTTCAAGGTTCAAGATATGTGGATCTAAAAGCTAATGGCTACAATCTGATAAACGAAGCAGCAAAGCAGGCTGGGCTGAGATTGAGACACACACACACATACACACACACACATACACACACCCCTTTGGACTGCTCACATCAGCAAGACGGGAGTAATTTATCACCCCAGATTTTAGGTCAAGCCTCCACCTGCATCACTGAAGCAGAGCGAGGGAGGCAGGCGGTGTGGAGGTGGGAGGTGTGAACATGGGGAGGGGTGTTGGAGGCTGTGGCCAAGGACAGCAATCAATCCTTCCCCTCCTGCTTTGGGAGAGCTCATGCTCGATGAATATGTGTATGTTGCAGTCAGTGGAGGGAAATGGCACATTTACACACGTTCACGAGTAAGTGTCTTTACCCACATTGACCATGACATAATGACCAGACTCCATGGATACAGGTTCATTTGTCTCTGCAGGAGACCCATTTTACATCAAAGACTGTTTGGTTAGCGGGGAATGCAGAAAGCAATGATCTATGAAAGATAAACAAACACAATATCCCTGTTTCCTCATATTGTGACAGTGGTCACTTGGGGATCAAACCTTCTGTCTTGGCAGTATTAGTGTCTTGTGGTGCCTCCTAAAAACACAAAGTATAAAATCTAATCCCAGAGGAGCAACAAGCAAGAGTAAGCAGTTACGTACGGTTTCCCCAAAATTAAATGGGTCACCACACAGCAAAGCTCTTCCTGTAATTGAGTACCTTTTTGTGCCTGGATAGTTCTTCACTCAGCATAATTTATTTTCACACTGTACCAATTACACTAGGCTTTGTTGGCTATGAATCAATCAGTGACAGCTGGAGATAAGAAAAGCCATTTGAGAAAGTGTGTTGGTCTTCTTTATTTTGACATCTCCACGTTTTACACTTTAAACAAAAGATATTCAAAGCTTTAAACATGCTATTATTGATGGGTTAAGGGAGGCCAACTACACGATCCTCAACAATATTAAACATGTAATTAATGATTCCTGCCCTTTGTTGTTGTCATAGCAGGTTGAGCTTTATTTTGTTTAGGGTGATGGCTTGTGTTAGATAACAATACCAAAGGATAAAATGTGTAATCCAACTCCTATTCTCACCCTTTGGTTCTCACCTCCCGTCTGAACCCACCGGCCTCACGATACGCCTGCATTTCTAAGAAAACATACCAAAGGGTTAACATGAAAGATGTAATTTATAGTTGAGATAGAAAATGATCCACCAGTTGATTGTGCCTTTGCCCCTGTTAGCTGTGAGTTATGAGGGCTGTCCTATACATGTCCTGGGAAATATTATCTTCTTGTGAAAAAGTCAGGTTTGTTGGAAACACCTGAAATCTCACAACTCTTGATTAAGAGCTTTTTTTTATAAATACATGTCAATCAGACTGCAACTTCTCTCTCATATCACCAGAATTAATAAATAAATGTTCCTGTTGAAACAAGCCTTCAGATTACTAGAGATAAATACTACTCTTTCTAACATCTAATGTCTGTCTTATTAGAATCTGCATGCGTCCTTGAGTTTGCATGTGTCTAACTCGGCTGTCTGTGTATATTTGTGTGTGTGTGTGTGTGTGTGTGTGTGTGTGTGTGTGTGTGTGTGTGTGTGTGTGTGTGTGTGTGTGTGTGTGTGTGTGTGTGTGTGTGTGTGTGTGTGTGTGTGTGTGTGTGGTGTGTGTGTGTGTGTGTGTGTGTGTGTGTGTGAGTGAATTTATTCTGCATCGATGTGATTGTGTGAAAACTTGCCACAGAGTTGCAATTACACAGCTTTAACCAATAGCAGATGGCTGAGGACTGACACTTTTGGAGGGGCTCCCCACGAAGGAGGAGACCAACGGAAGATTTATATTGTTGCCGCACACATTCGTAGATATCAAATCTCTCTCTGCCTCTCTGTCAAATACACACGCAAAAACACACACAAATATGTACAAATACGAACACATATCATGAACATGGAGTACTGTCAAAGGATTTATTTGGCTCTTGTGTCTATCCTGTTTGTCAGTTCCTCCCTCTAACCCCAAAATCCACAGCACAACCATGATAACCTCGGTCCACATTTCAAAACTTTAGCACGCCTCCCAGATTTATCGTCTGTCAAGTAGATGACCCTCGTATTTCTTCCAACCCCATGCATTCAAAACGGAAATGATTTAACCAGCGGTCACATGGCTCTAAATTACCAGAGAACCTTCAGAAATATCTTAATCTTTCAAGCATCATCTGATGTTCAATATATATTTTAATTACTTTGGACCTACTGTATGGTCACTGTGAACACGCCATAGAAATTAGTGTGACATGGTGGTTAGCTAACAACCCAAGTCTGTGGAGTTAATTAGAAATGCATCGTTAGTGGCCAATGGAGGGTCCTGTCTATATTGGCTGTATGATCAGACTTGTTGGCTGGGTATCTCTCTAGCTCCTTTGAAACACACACAGTTGACCGCATGATTGTGATTTGAATCAAAGAAGCAAGTTAACCAAATTGGCATGTTTACATGAGCAGTGGACTAAAACACATTTTCAGATGCCATTGCTCAGAAAAGAAAAAGCTAGTGAAAAATGAAACATAACAAGAATTCTTCCACTCTGCAAAATCGTCTGGAAAAGATGTCTGAATACATTCTTTAACTGGCAAGCAACACAAAATCCGAGCTCTGTATATCCTGGCAGCTCGTTCCCAAAGGTGGCTTAATGTGTCTCCTTCGACCATGTCTTATTACATTCAATTGTTATCACTTCATCTCTCTGGATTCCATCGTTTTCCTTACACAAAAAAGTTCTACAGTACTGCAAATACATCAACTTTCTTATTTTTGTTACTTGACTCTGTCTCTTTCTCCCTCGACGACTCTGTGTCCGTGCAGGTGTCGGCTCTGCTATCTGATCCACCTTTCCTGTGCGGCAGGATGGGATGAGGTCACAGCTCCACTCAGCTCCAAGAAAGAGCGACGGCTCAATCAGACCTTCCTTTGCCATGACCATAATATCACTGACTCGCCTTCCTGAGGATTTCAGTCGAAACAAATATTCTGTAACTCTTGTGAGCAAAGACAACTTGTTATTCAGAATTCACTGTTTTAAAGTATATGTCTGGCAATATTGCCAATATTCTATATATTTCCAGACAATTTAGGACAATTCCCTAAATGAAATGACTGTTGTCTGTGCAGCCAAAACCTGATACTGTGTGTTCCTACAGTAGGTGCTGTAGACGCCCTTTATTGTCCAAAATCTATTAAAAACACATTCATTAGCAACACCTTTGCACTGAGTTACATGTTAATTCAGTACAATGCAAGTGGACACTATAATCCATTTTGGAACAATTGAACATATGCAGTCCTGCTGCTGAATGCTAATACAAGCACAAATATGTCAAAACAGGCCAAAAGTGGTCTCCTTTTAAAGCATTATTTACTGTTTGAGGAAATGATTAGCATTTTTTTAAAGTGGAGCCATGTCCTTTTGGGGCTGCATAGAAAATTCAGAAAGTGGTGAGAAGACGAGAGACTCTGTTTTTAATATTTTCATTCTTTAAAATAAAGAAAAAAATAAAATAATGACACACTTGAATTCAATAGCAAGTTGAATCTTCATGCTAGAAGGGAGCCTGTTACATTATTCATGTCCTGAATTTTATAAAAACCTAATTGAAAATGTGTTATAGCCTCACCTCTACTCAGCACACTGTAAAACTATGGGCACTTTCTCTAAATGTTTTCTTTTTTTCTGAAGTGCCTTCTTTTGCCACAGGCAACAAATAGAGTTGTATTTGTCTTCATCTGTGCCTGAAGGGTATTCTTAGGGAGATTATTATAGCTTACTTTGCTCTTAGGCCAGCCTTCCTACCATGCAACCACACCGGCCCCATGACTTTGGCTCTTCTTCAAAGCTACTACATTGTGCATTTCTGCAGATGTCACCAAAATTGGAACGAAGAGTTAGAAATGAAATGTATACAGTATAAATCTGAGGAGAATTGATTTTGTTCTGCCAACAGAAGGGAAAAAAGGCTCTTTCTGTTTCCATTTTGTCCGGGTGTTGGCACCACATTTCCTGCTGGTTGTGTGGTTTCCTCCAGACTTTTTTAGTC